TGTCCCGTCGGCGGTTCGAGCGGTACCGGAACCACGATCCTCGATCTTCGCCCGTGTTCTTCCGCCACCACCTGCAGAGAACGATTTCTCGACCGACGATTATCTCGACCGAGATCCCGAACCGTTTGAAATCAAATTCGGATCGGTGTAGCGGGTAAACTCTCGGCACCTCGTCGGATTCATTCGTTATTCCGGCCGAGTCCGCGGCCCCGAGAGGATACGCAATCAGCTGTCCCGCGGTAACGGATGTCTTAAGGGGTTGCCGGAATAAAATTAGGTAATCGCATTTAATGCGGGTAGGAGGGACACGCTCGAAGCGTAATCGTTGAGGGATAGTACGCGGAGGAAGGGAAGAGGAGCCACGAGGGCCCGCGGGGAGACTGAAGAAGAGGGATTTCCCGCGGGACTGCCGGGGGTTGTTGCCCAGCCCCGAAGAAGCGGACATCGGGCCCGGATGTTCGCAAGGACGAGACGCCGCAGACGCTGCCACATTGGAAGGGAAAATATTGACGGCCGTCAACAAATTCCTTACGACATTCCCTTTGGTTAACAAATTCAAGTTGCTGATGGTAAGTGCCTCATCCACTGTCCCGCTCGTTGTCTCTTTGTCTCGCCACCGGCTGGCATAGTTTCCGATCGACTTTACCGAGGACAGTCGTCGTCTGCCCATTCAATTTCCAATGAGGGAACTTGTTTAGAAAATTCTCTTGCGTATCGTGGAACAGCATCGCGCCGTTTGATCGGATTGACCAACGCGACGATCGGTTTTCGAGGGAATCAATCTTGCTCCGTGATATACGCTTACAGCTTCGAGCTCTTTTGTTTCCATCGACGTTACGTCTTCCAATTAGTTTAAATTATCCGACCACCGCGAGCTTCGAGCTTCTAGTCAGTCTTCCGGAAGGAATATTGTCAAAGTATAAGAAAAACGTAACATCGCTGAGTGGACGAAGAGTACTCCATGTAATATGTTTCTTGTGTACACCGCGTGCTCCATTATGCCCCCCTAGGAAGTCGCAAAGGAAATCTCGCCGCCGTGTTGTGCCGCTCAAAGAAACACTTCTCGAACGACGTTATACCAACAGCGGCGAGATATAAACGCGAGTAACAGAGCGTATAGTTTTACACCGGGGCTGTTTCCGTCACGGAGAAATGCTCGTGTTCCGTCCGGTCCTTCGCGGACAGTGAAACTCGAGGCGGATACGAGAGAAATCGTCCGTGAAGACTTTCGACGAGTTTTTCTAGACAGCGTGAGACCGCTTGCGTGGCACCTTTAATTGCGCGCGATTATCTGACTCGACGCTCGTTCGCACCCCATTAAACCTGTTTCTTTGTCGAACGCGTCCGTGCGTTTCTCTCGGACTCCCGGTTTACCTGTGAATCTTGGAGCACATTAGAGTGTCCGAACCGAGTAAGCAATTCATTAGCTCTCCCTTCTGTCTGGACGGGTTGCCCGCGGGAAACGGAATGAGAGGAGCGATGGGGCGAACGTATCCGAGTGGTTCCGTCGAGAGAAACGGCCGGTCGGTGAAAAAGTAATTCGGGAACGGAGAGTTTGGTGTTTTGCCAGGAAAATATGTATGCCCGTCATGTGCTCGGGAACGGAGTGAAATAGTCCTAATGTAAATCGATGCCGCCCACATTCGTGAATGTTCCTTCAACGTGCACGCGGTTCTTCTTGTTCGATCACCGCGTCGCGGAGAACGTAAATACGCGACCGTTGTCTCGGCGAGCGAGCCGACGAACGAGGATGACGAACGGCACTTCGTTTTCCTTATTTGAACTTGTTGCTCGATCCATCTGCCGACCGGCGCCGTGCTCGCCTGTTAATTATCGGTTCCACGTAAATATGCGCGCCCTATTACCGGAAAATTCCATGCAATTGCTCGCCGGTATGCTGTAACTATGACTACGATTGGAATGATCAAAGGGACGACATACCGCGTCCGAAACAGACCGACGGTTGGTTAGAACTAGGATGCGGTTGTCAGAGAAACGGGAGAACGGGCTGGAGAAATCACCAGTGATTTCATCGGTGACCCGCTTGCCGGCGATTAAACTTGTTTAAAAGGCGATCACCTTCGCGGCGGAGTGTCATAAACGGGATCCTCCAGGAAAAGAAGATCGCCGCGATCGCATACACCGGTCACGTACCGCTCGATCTGATCAGTTTCCAGGGAGAGTTTCTCTTTATTAAATTCCGCCTGACAAATCGTCATGGTTGTAGTAAACATCGATTTCGATTACTCCGACTGCATTATCCGCAGCCTTTTACGCTCACACTCTGTCCATCGCTCTATTACGAAAGCTTATACGCATGACTTAACACGAACAGAACTGTTCATGCGAAACCGAAATTAATCAAACGGTGCATCTAAGATTTAAGAGAGCCATATGGACGCGTAGAACAGGAACGAAATCGGGAACACGCGACGAACACGAAATAGGAGAGAGATAACTTGGAACGTGAGCTATAAGAAGTATGGAGTTATTCCACTGTTAAGTTCGTTGAATTTACTGTTATTGGTGGGAAATATACGAGTGTGTCACTCATGTCCACTAGACCTGTGTGATCGATTCCGCATCCCGAAACTATAGTCGCACGCGAGCGTGGTGGGATTTACGAACCCGCGAAATTCGGCGGACGAATTACGGTATTCCGAAACGCAACAGGAGCGAAATGAGTGCGACATGACGGGAACGTCCCGATTTTTCTCCACTCGACTAACGTTATCTACGCGCCCTGTTTTTGACATTTTTTTCTGTGCTTCAGAATTTTTCAGACACGCGCTTGTCAAGAGACTTTTGCTTGTACCTGTCCTCGCGGCATTTTTCACATCCGCGTATATCAAACAGCATAACTTTGGACATACGGATCTGTTATTGGTGTGTGAAAAATGTATAAATAATGACGTGTACC